AGAAGCAACTGATGCTGAAAGCTCAAGCGAAGATGAAACGGAAACAAACAGGGGATGACCTCTACAAGATGTTACAATTTTTTAGAGGAACCATATATAGCATTTTGGAACTGTTATGAAGAACTTGCCTCGATGAAACCCTGTCATTTACGAAGATGGTAAAATCCCAATTGCCGTTGAATTAGACAATTATGTAGCTGAAAGTCTTCTGCCTAGAAACCAAACCCCTTTTAATTGGCGGGAAAAGCATAAGTTTAAGTACGCACATTAGCTAATTTTGCCAGAGTATTTCTAATTGCTCCTGGTAGCAGTGTCTACAGCGAAAAATTATTTTCAGAAGCAGGAAACTTACGAGGAGAAACGCAATAGACTATTGCCAGAGAGAGCTGAGAGCTTGGTGTTTCTGCACCATAACTTACCCTTGATAAATTACAAATACTAAAATATTAATTTCTTTTGATTATGTTCTTTTTTTATATATGTATATGATCTCACATAAGTATGTTCATTAAAATAAATGTTGTTTTGAGGTTTAATTGCTTTGTTTTATTACCTTCTCCAACACATTACACACTGCACATTCATACACCGCAAAAGTAGGGATACATAACGAGCATTTCTGCTTTAATGTAAATCTTACTACAGAAGTTCTGTGTTCTTTTTCTATACTGTGTAGTCTGTGTACAATAAATAGGTAAGAAAATTTAAATATTCGAACCGAATATATTTGGCACCAAAACCGAATAATTCGGCCGAATACAAATAACGAATAAGGTGCCGAATACGCCGAATACCGAATACCAAACGAATATTCGGCGCATCTCTAATTTTTAGTATTGATATGGTCACTATAAGATGTTGTTAGGTTAGCTAATTACTAATTTGATAGTAATAGTAATGTAACAGAAAAATTCAATAACTGATTTTTGGCCCGACCCGGGATGTGAACCCGGGACCTCATGATCAGTAGACGCTTACGACCACTAGAACGGCGAGGTAGATAAACGACGATATGGTTTACAAACCAAATAGAAAGTACCTCGAACTCCAAAGGACAGTTGCAGCTCTCCTCCAAGCCCTGCAACTTGCAACACTCAGCTTGGTCGACATGGAGGATGACAGTTGGCAGCACCAGCTGCGACAGATCGAAGCTGGACGCCGTGTAATCAGTCAGCACCAGATTCCAGCGGTAGTCGCGTCGAACCAGCTTCTCCTTGACCGCCTGTTTGATACAGGATATTGGAACTTAGTGGTCGAAATTAGACCTTAATTCATAAAATTTTTAGGTTAATAAATATATTACTTGTTTAATAAAACAAGCTGTATTTCAATTTCAACTGGACACTAATATACATGCTGTCCCGTATGTCGACGTAAAGCAGGAATCCGGTGATCACCAGATTCCGGCTTGTCTTCGACTCCTGGGACAATCTGTATAAACACAGATATCTAATATCCATTCATTATTCATACATTACAGCCATTTACATGTCCGTTAATATCTAATATAAAAAATATAAAAATAAACGCTTTTTTGCCTTTTTGCGTAAAACGTAGCGGTTATACATATGTATACTCTGGTACTTTACTCTGAGACAATGGAAGTATAAACGTCAACAAACGACTGTTTTTATTTTTTTTTTGTATCATATTATAAAATTTACAGCCTATAACATAAGTTTACCAGCTGGTCACAGGCCATCTCTCATATCTCAGAGGGTCTTAGGACAAGGAAATATCCGCCGCGCGTTGCCCCAATGCCTATTGGTGAATTTTACATATCTTTGAAATATTTTGGGACATGCGAGTTTTCTCACGATGTTTTCCTTCACCGTCGAGCACGCGGTAAATCAGCAAAATTACAATTAACAATTTAATTGGTGCCGGTGGGGATCGAACCCGGATTGCTCGCGTACTATAAAACATTTTTGTTTTAGTCTCATTGTTTTAAGCTTATAAATAATAAGAATTATGAAATACTCACGCGTTTGTATGCATCTCTGACGAATCTACCTTCACCGACAATCACGTAGAAACTGGGCTCCGGCCTCATTGACTTCAAGGCTTTAGCGGAGTCTTTAGTTGACCCCGCGTGGACCCACACTCGCACGTTGGACCGCCCTAGTAGCTCGTACAGAGTTCTGTCAACGTCTGAAAAAACCTCTCAAGATTTTATGATATCCTGGTCCATAACTGTATTGTTAAGGCTATTCTGCCTTGGTCTCCCTAGTATCTCTAAATCAACGTGCCTAAATTTCAACTTATATTTAGCAGTAAGAAAATGAACACAGCCCGTCTGATGGGAAGTGGATAATTTAAGAATTAAAATTAAAAACCTCTCAAAGTTTTATGATATGCTGGTCCATAACCGTTCCGTTTAGGCTGCTCCGCCTGCGCCTTTTACAGCAGAGGAAGTTAAAAAAAAGGATTTAGTTTGGAATACAAATGAACGTGCTTCAATTTTTCAGCTTATTTATAGAAGTAAGAAAACGAACACACACTCCATTTGATTTGTACATAATATTAATACCAGAAGGAATGCCTCGTTGTGCGGCCAGTCTCTATGGAGAGTAGTTCTATTTTTTTATTTAAAAAACAAAACGTAACCCTCACACTAGGATTTTGTTCTGTATCGTGGCTGCAGTTTACAAAAAAATGCACAAGGACAAACATCACACCCGAAACAATTATTTGTAGGCCATACATACCTAGTCAGGTCATAAATTCTGTCACATGTTTAATATAAAATAATTGAAACAAGTTTATTCATTATGTAACTGTTCCGTATTTGATGTCTTTATTTTCTTTTCATTAATGGTTCGGTATAATTTTATAACTAGAAATAGTACAATTTGAAAGGAAAACATCTCGTCTTACGTATAACATTTCGAATAAATATTTTTTCTTACTGGCAAGCACTCTTTAACTTTGAAGCGAGCAACCCTTTTTTCAACTACACCCGCAACGACCACTAGTAACGGCCAAGTTCCTCGTCAACGCAAGCATTAACGCTTTTGACGGTACCTTGTACGCGCGCGTTCCGTTACCAGCAATAGATAAGATCTCATTTTCCCTGCTCCATCGAATACTAAGGCAGCTTTCCATACCTGACCTGTGGATAAAAGAACAATAGTGGACACATTCGGCCAGAAGATACATCACATCGGGCCGGTAAACGTTGGGCAGCTCAGAAATTACCCAGGTGAGTGTTTGCCAGGTCTTATGTACATAACATAAGTGTTTTTGGACCTTGCGAGCCAAATCTTTCCTTTCAAATCGTGCTGTCTTAGTAAGAGTGTTATCTTTAGTTTCACACACACTTTAAATTTTAAAATTTAACGTACATACGTACTTTCACCGACGTGTCGTATAGGCCATCTTTGCAACGCAAAATGCCGGATCCAGCACGAGTTGAAGAATTTATGTGTGATGTTTCATGCGAGCAGGACATGTTCGAACGCGATATTATTTTAGATGATTTAAAAAGAACATTACAGTTCGCAACGACCGATGAACAAAAGTTCCGTTCGCGAACTAAAGATCTTACGGCACAACAAAGAAAGTTTAGTAAATTACAAACTAAAATAGAAAAATGTCTAATAAAGACAAAAATGTTCAACAAAGATGAACAAATTAAAATTCGTAACGATTTTGATGACGCATACTACGCTATTGTCACGCATCTGAGCAAATTAAAACAAGATGACGAACAAGTCAGGCGTATGAGTAGGTCTTTTAACTCCGAATCGTTTGCACAATCCCACAATCCAAAATTGCCTAAAATTCCCTTGCCCAGCTTCTCGGGTAATAGTACTGACTGGAATTCATTTTATGACTTATATATTTCACTCGTACATAACAATAATGCCTACACGGATGCGGAGAAATTCAGATATTTACTCCTTACTTTAAAAAATGAACCTTATAATTTAATTAAATCAATTCCCATTACCGACGCGAACTATTCTGTAGCCTTACAGGTATTAATTTCGCGTTATGAGAACAAAAGAATTATAGCTTCCACTCATCTCGACAAAATTCTCGATGTTGAACCTTGTTCAGAAAAATCAACAATCAGCTTACGTAATTTACTAAACATTTACCAAGAAAACATTAAAGCACTTGAAGTCATGAAATTTCCTACAAACGAATGGAGTTTTATCTTATTAACGATTTTACTGCGAAAAATTCCTTCATCTATCCGCAAACGTTTTGAGTTATCATTAAAATCACCATCAGAAATTCCTGATATCAACACACTAATATCCTTTTTGGAGCGGGAGTTGTCCGCAAGCGAAATTTCTCACCCTAATTTCGGTCAAATTACTAAACACGAGGGTCAATCAAAATCAAACGCACCATCAAGCAGCGGCGGTAGCCGCACGACGGCATCTCAGGGCGCACGCCGTATATTTATAGGAAACAACACATCACAGCCTGTTTCAGAGTCTGCATATAATATTCCAAACAAATTTCCGAGAGTTAAATATTTCCATTGTATATGCTGCGACGCCCAACATACACTAACTAAATGTCCGACGTTTTTAAACCTATCACCCAAGGAGCGCTATACATTTATTAGTGGTAAAAACGTTTGCTTTAATTGTTTACACGTTGGACACGATGTTAAGCAATGCAGATCAAATTTTATGTGTCGGACGTGCAACAAACATCATCATACGCTAATTCATTTCGATAATCAATCTTATGTAGCTGCTACCGAGACAGCTGATCCGCATGACAGCTCCGCTTCACTCCCTCCTACAGCGTACGATCCCGCCACTTCGAGCGATTCTCAGCTGGTTATGACGTCGATACATCACACGACTCGCGACGCTAGCGTGCAATCTAGTTCTGCTCCGTCAGTGCGAACAAGTACAGTGTTACTGTCAACAGCGCTCATCGATGTTTACGTAAATAATCATAAGCGATCGACCGTGCGTTGTCTCATAGATTCGGGAAGCCAGGTTTCCTTTATTAGTGAGGCGTGCGTACAACGTTTGGGCTTAGCGAGAAAACATGTCAATATTCCTCCTGTTTACGGAATCAATGAAAACAAACCGGTTTATCCAAAGGGTTTAGTTTCGTGCTATATTACACCAAAAAATAAAACACAACCTTCGGTACAAATCGATGGCTTAATCTTACCGAAGCTTATTACTACACAAATGCCCTCTTGTCAATTACCTTATAAGGAATGGTCCCACATTAAAAATTTGACGTTGGCTGATCCCCATTTCTTCACACCACAACCCGTAGAAATGTTACTTGGAGCGGACATACTTCCCCAAATTCTATTAAACAATACGGTGACTGGGCCTCCTGGTACACCCATAGCAATAAATAGTATTTTTGGATATTTACTGCTAGGCAAGCTAGATTTTAATATTCATTCACCCGTTTCATTCCCAGTTCAAGTGTTTTACAGCTCGGTTAACGATGAGTTTGATCTTCAACGCTTTTGGGAAATAGAATCAATTACAGAACAAAGGTCTCTCACTCCCGACGAAGTTTTGTGCGAGACAATTTTCGAAAACACGCATACGCGTAATGATACAGGACGATATGTAGTCGCTCTGCCTTTCAAGCCTGACGCCTTGCCCCTTGGTGAGTCACGTGACATTGCTATCGCTCGATTTCGCAGATTAGAATACAAGCTTGAACGCAATCCGCCACTGAAATATAGTTATCATGCATGCCTCCAGGAGTACTTGGACCTTGATCACATGGAACCTTGTGATGGCCTTTCACCTAAATCTGGTGGCTTCTATTATATTCCGCACCACTGCGTGGTGAAGGAATCTAGCGAAACAACAAAAATGCGAGTGGTCTACGATGCAGGTTGTAAGACTACCCATGGGAACTCCCTGAATGATGTTTTGTTTACAGGACCCAAACTCCATCTGGATATAGTCGACGTTCTACTGAAGTTTCGAATTCATTCTATTGCCTTCACAGCTGACATTAAACAGATGTACCGCAACATTTTAGTCCGTGACACAGATAGGGATTTTCAGCGTATCGTATGGCGCACTTCTCCTGACGAACCTATACGTGACTATCGCCTTCGTACTGTAACTTTCGGAGTTAGTTCCTCGCCTTACCTCGCACTTCGTACAATGCGACAACTTGCGCTTGATGAAGCCACTCGTTTCCCACGTGCTTCTCAAGTCATAATAGGTGACATATTCGTAGATGATATAGTGTCAGGCGACAATACGGAGGCAGAAGCTCTTGCTCTACAACAGGAGTTAATAAGCATATGTCAGGCTGCCGGCTTTACTCTTCACAAGTGGCACAGTAACTCGCCTGCGTTACTCGCTGCGGTTCAGCCCACAAGTTCTCATGGTGAGCGGCACCATTACGTACCTTTTGCGGAGATGGAAAATGACATGAAAACTAAAGTACTTGGTCTTCAGTGGAACTCAAATTCAGATTCATTTACTTTCAGTGTTCAAATTACCTCTAACAAATGTACTAAGCGTTCGATTCTTTCAGAAATTGCTAGAATTTATGACCCACTTGGCCTTTTATCGCCAGTCACCATTTTTGCTAAGCATTTAATCCAGTTGTTGTGGATAGCACGTGTAGATTGGGACGAACACCCACCCCAAGATATAATAAATTCATGGGCCAGTTTTACTAACGAGCTTCCACTCTTATCGAAAGTTACTTTTCCGCGACATGTATTTACCCACACTCATTCTGTACAACTTCATGGGTTCTCAGATGCATCCGAGAAAGCGTATGCCGCATGCGTCTATCTTCGCGTGCGGGGAGACATGGGTGCAGTGGATACTTACCTTCTTTTAGCTAAAACACGCGTGGCGCCTACTAAACGTATGTCCATACCGCGCCTAGAGCTCATGGCGGCCCTATTATTATCTAGATTAATGAAAGCTACCTTAAATATTTATGGGAATCGCATACCTCGCGATCAGATATACGGATGGTCTGACTCTTCTGTGGTACTAGCGTGGTTGCGTTCTTCGCCACATGAGTGGAAAACCTTTGTTTCCAATCGCATAACAGAAATTATAAGTAATATTCCGTATTGCCGTTGGCGGCATGTTCCGTCTGCAGACAATCCGGCAGACGCGGCTTCACGCGGAATGCTTCCCGCCAATTTTTTACATCACAGCATATGGTTCCGCGGTCCTCACTTCTTAAAAAAGGATGAGGCTACTTGGCCTGTTTTCAAAGCTACTCAGACACAAGAAGAAAAACGTAACATTGCAATTGTTTCCAATCCATGCACTTCTTCTTCCACCAACGACGACGTAGAAATTATATCACGTTATTCATCCCTGGGTAAACTGGTACGTGTCACTGCTTTATTATTCCGTTTCTATAAAAAATGTAAGAAGGTTCAAACCCCTCTTTCTAAACATATTTCCGTAACCGAGTTCAATTTTACTTTGAATCGACTCATATTTCTTGTACAACAATCCGTTTTTCGTGATGACATTTACAACCTTTCTAAGGGAAAACTCCCATCAAATCAATTAAGACGCTTAAATCCCTTTATTGACTCAAACAATTTTGTTCGCGTAGGTGGGAGGATACATAAGTCCCTTTTACCATATGAATCAAAACACCAATTAATCTTACCTAAAAAACATCCGTTATCGATTCTAATTATTAATTACACTCACGTATCTCACTTGCATGCCGGTGCGCAAAGTACACAATACATACTTCTACAAAAATATTGGATCTTATCCGGGCGTGACGTCATACGGCAATGTATTCATCGCTGTGTCCGTTGTTTTCGAGCATGTCCCGTGCGCCAACAGCCCAGCATGGGTCCATTGCCTGCCTCACGTTTGCGACCCGAACGACCCTTTCTTAAAACCGCCGTTGATTTCGCTGGTCCTTTTTACGTTCGAGCTAACAAAGTGCGAAATGCAAAAATAGTAAAATGTTACGTCTGTGTATTTTTATGTATGTGCGTTAAGGCTATACACCTCGAAATAGTTTCGGAACTTACAACAGAGGGTTTCTTAGCGGCACTACGTCGCTTCACGTCTCGCCGAGGTTTATGCAAGGATATTTATTCCGATTGCGGTAAGAATTTCATCGGCTGTGACAGGTACCTAAAGGACTTGTATGCCTTCCTACGGAATGACACTGTACAAGGCGCGCTCCAGAATAAGACTCTGGAAGAAGGAATAACATGGCATTTTCAGCCACCGTATGCAAGTCATTTTGGTGGCCTCTTTGAAGCGGGCGTCAAAAGTTTTAAACACCATTTTCATCGGGTAGTAGGTCCTCGTATCCTAACCTATGATGAGATGCATACCCTATTATGTCAAATAGAGGCAGTGCTAAACTCGCGTCCGCTATGCATATTGAGCTCCGATGCGCAGGATCCCCTCCCTCTAACTCCGTCTCACTTTCTGATAGGTGAACCGTTAACAGCTATCCCCGACGTTTCACTTGTGGATGAAAATCCGGGTAGATTATTCAGGTGGCGTTTGATACAACAATCGGTTCAACATTTCTGGAAAAAGTGGAGCTTAGAGTATTTGCATGAAATTCAACAACGTGGCAAATGGTTCACACACAATCGTGGACATCCGGTCCGTGAAGGCATGATTGTGGTAGTATGCGATGATAACCTTCCACCTTTACAATGGCGACTTGCGCGTGTACACCATCTGCATCCAGGTTCTGATGGGATTACGCGTGTTGTAACTCTCCAAATTGGGAAAACATATTTGAAGCGACCAGTTAATAAAATTTGTCCACTTCCTATAGAATAATAAACGTAAATAATGATTCATATTCCTTATTTTACTTTCTTTAGAAATAACTTAAATATTTATCCGTAATTTTAAGATATAGTTTGATATTTACTAGGTTTAACTTTATTTATACTCCTTACATTTTTTTTATCAAGGGCTAGTTTGTATTACAGATTTGTTTAGATTTAGTTAAAAGATACTGCGTACTTTTAAGGTGAGCGGCATGTTCCGTATTTGATGTCTTTATTTTCTTTTCATTAATGGTTCGGTATAATTTTATAACTAGAAATAGTACAATTTGAAAGGAAAACATCTCGTCTTACGTATAACATTTCGAATAAATATTTTTTCTTACTGGCAAGCACTCTTTAACTTTGAAGCGAGCAACCCTTTTTTCAACTACACCCGCAACGACCACTAGTAACGGCCAAGTTCCTCGTCAACGCAAGCATTAACGCTTTTGACGGTACCTTGTACGCGCGCGTTCCGTTACCAGCAATAGATAAGATCTCATTTTCCCTGCTCCATCGAATACTAAGGCAGCTTTCCATACCTGACCTGTGGATAAAAGAACAATAGTGGACACATTCGGCCAGAAGATACATCACATCGGGCCGGTAAACGTTGGGCAGCTCAGAAATTACCCAGGTGAGTGTTTGCCAGGTCTTATGTACATAACAGTAACCATTTATATACCAAAATGAACTTAACAAAACATAGATTCTTATGACACTAAAGTTTATTCAAAATGACCTCCGTGATTATGAATACAGGCCTTCAATCTGCGCGGACAGTCGTCTATCGCAGCACGAACGAGGTCCATGTCAATATCGGCGGCTGCCTTAATCAAGGATGTCTTGAGTGACTCCAAATTGGGATGAGACTTTGAGCACGCCTTTTCCTCCAAGTGTTGTCATATCTTGTAATCTAACGGATTCAAATCTGGACTGGAGGAGGGCCACTCTTCGTGCCGGATGAAGTCGATTTCACGCGCCGCCAGCCAGTCTTGTGTGCTCTTCGCTCTATGAGCTGGCGCCGAATCTTGTTGGAATACCCAGTGCCTGTTATTGAACATGGTATGAGAAACAGGTTCCACAAGGTTCGTCAGTACTGTATTTTGATACACAACTGCATTCGTTTTTACACCTTTCTCACAAAAATGTACCTCTGTTAAGCCCCAATAAGAAACTCCCAACCATACCATGAGCGAGGATGGAAAATGACCTCGTTGGACATGCGGAATACGGTTGCTCGCTTCTTCACTACTGTGTGCGTACACCTTATCATTTTGTTTTCCCGCGTACCCCTTCAACAAAGCGCGGCATCTCTTCAGTCTCAGGTCCATTAGACGAGCATTCAAACGATGTCCTGTTTTTCTTCGATATGCCCGAAGCCCTAAGTCTTCATTTAACACCCTTTTCACCGTGGTTCTGCTTAACCCCATCTGAAGGGCCAACAGTTTCTGCTTACGTTTGGGATTTCTTTGAATTCGCGCCTTCACAGCTTTTATCACTGCTGGAGTCCTAACAGACCGAGGGCGACCATTTCTTGACCTGTCATCTACACTAGAGTCTTCATTGTATCGTTTGATGGTACGATAAACGAATCTTTTGGTTATATTCAAATTTTTCAGTATGTCAAAAATTTGAATTGTCGCGTAACCGCAACGATGCAACGCAATAACTGCAACACGGTCTTCTTTAAGCGTCCACTCCATATTTAAAAATGAGTAAAATTCTAAAAAGCATACACACATGCTCCGTGTGGGATTCCAGCCCGCGGCCCCCAGCGCACCCTCATTGGTCAAGTAACCGCGCCACGGAACCGTGGCGAATTATAAATTATAGTGCCCAAGTGTATGCGGAAGCACAGGTGTACTCTCTATTCGCTCATTCTCATAGTCCGATGGAACGGCAATCCCACACGACCAGAGATAGATCAGGCGCTGGACCATTGCTTTATGTGCTTTCCGTGGCGCCGGGTTGTAACACCGCCGGCTTTTTTTATAGGATAGGGTGACAAACGAGCACATAGTCCACCTGATGGTAAGTGGTTGCTGTGACCCATAGACATCTACATCTATCTTCCTTTGCGAATTAAAATGCAGATGCGTTGTCACCCGTGAGGACTAAGATGGAATGCCTTGTTTCCAATAAAAAGGGTCTACGGTTCTCTACACTCACCATACGAAACACAGCAGCGTTAAGCCGTTGACGGCTCCGTGGCGCAGTGGCTTAGCAATGAGTTGCTGCGCTGGGAGCCGCGGGTTCGAATCCCGCACGGAACAAGTATTTGTATATACTAATACCAGCGTAAAATAGTAGCTTAACACTGCTGTGTTTCGTATTCTGAGTGTAGAGAACCGGAAACCCTTTTTACTGGAAAGGCGGCATTCCATCTCAGTCCTCACGGCTGACAACGTATCTGCATTTTGAATTTTAATCGAGCTTGGATGACTGTCAGTCATCAAATGGACTATGTGCCCGTTTGTCACCCTATCCTATAAAAAAAAATTAATTGGCTTCGCCTACATTGAGGATGTTCTCGTTTTATTTACATTGAAGTCGGTTTTACAAATTTTTTAATTTTACCGCTTGTTTGTTAAAGTTTAGTTATTATCAGGAAGATACTTATGCTCATGATTACATATGTTTCAGTACCTATTTCTTTTCGCCTCTTAGGACAGCCACGGGATGATAATATGGGATAGTGGATATACTTACACCGCCACTACACAGTAAGACCGTGTCGATTACACCACGGTACGGGTACACCAGTGTCGGAACTATGTGTTAATACTTAATCAAAAACTAGTTGGTGATATAATGACGTCACAACCAATCACAAGTAGTTATTTTCATTCAAAAATTTAACTATTTTTTATTTATAATTACTAAAAAAATGGAATTGTTAAATATACTTTAAATAAATTATCTTTTCATTTATAATATGTAAATTTGTGGCAAAAAAAAAAACTTATGCAACTTTTCTATTATTTCTTCTGCGGCAGCAAAGAAAAAAAAAGCGCTACCACCAACCAACCAGCTAGTACGAGTATTTTATAAACAAAAACATTTAATAAAAAAAAGTAATACGGACATTTCCTGTAACCCTCTTCCTCGTTTTCTCTGTCCAATATGACAATATCGTCGCTTAATTTCAGTTCCGAATTAGCTTTATTCGGTTAGTTTCATAGCGCGGCCTATCTTCTCAGGTAGATCCACCTCATGTATCTCGATAATGAAGACTGCAACAAACAATAAAACTGAATCGTCGACGACCGAGCTCTTTCTAATCGGCTTGAATCACTGGCCCTGCGAAGAGATGTTGCATCTCTTTGCGTATTCTATCGTATCTACCACCAGAGGAATTGTACCAGAGGAATTGTACCAGAGGAATTGTTCGGAGTGATTCCAGGCACCCAATTGGTAGAGCCATGTTGCAGCTATATTAATAGTACAGTTGTAGCACGGATGGGTCGGCTCGACCGGGGAAGGACCACGCTCGCACAGAATACCAGCGTAAAATAGCAGCTTAATGCTGCTGTGTTTCGTATGGTGACTGTAGAGAACCGGAGACCCTTTTTAGTGGAAAAGAGGCATTCTATCTTAGTCCTCACGGCTGACAACGCATCTGCATTTTAATTCGTAAACGAAGATAGATAGATGTCTATAGGCCACAGCAACCACTTACCATCAAGTGGACTGTGTGCTCGTATGGCACCCCTATTTTATAAAAAAAATTCACCATCGCACATCGCGATAAAACTCGAGATACCATCCATACCATCTGGATGATTGGCGGTCCACCACTGAGCGATTTACAAGAAATTTTCTTCCTCGCACAACTTCCTCAATTAATCAATTACCACCAGCGACTATCCTGGACCGATACTTAGGGACCTTCAAGAATAAAGCTTACTATTTTTAAAAGACCGGTAACGCATCTGCAATTCCCCTGGTGTTGCAGTTGTTCATGGGAGGCGGTAGTCACTTACCATCAGATGAACCGCATGTTCGTTTGCCCCCCTCTCCCCGCCCCTTTAAAAAAAGAACAAATTGTAATCGTAAAAAGATATCTGCAGTTAAACCCAGGGTAACCGATATAGCCCAATCAATAAGCTGAAGTGGTAATGTGCCGGCAATATACCCATATAGGTCAAAGAACTGACAATCGTTGGGGAAGAAAGGTCTTCAAGCATCGATATATATGTACTACGCACTAGATTTCGCATTCCGAACATTGACTATGTTCAACTGAACTGTACTGCAATCCGTACACTAAACTAAATATTGCGTAAATTGAAGATTTGTGAATTCCGTATGATAATTATTATTACATTTTATTTGGAAATATGTTTGTTTAGATTAAAATAAGAGTATTTTATATTGAATTCTTATATTTATTTTATATTAATATTATCTTATTTTATATTAAATTAAAGTATTCGCGCATGCGTGACTCTACTGTCTACTAGTAATAGCGCACAATTTTTGCTTGGAATAGCTTCTCTAGTACGTAGTACATATAACTCAATGTCTTCAAGTGTGTGACGAACTGGTAGACATCCAAGAAGTCTCCATCGAATTAGGTGGTATACGACCGGGTTTTGCTATTCCTTGGGGATGGCCTATGTTCGGCATTGGAATAGTCAGGGGCTGTAATGGACAGTTGGATGAAAGTAATGTATGAATTTGACATTTATAAAACTAGCACCTATTTATAACCGACTTCAAAAACGAGGAGGTTCTCGATTCGAGTGTATGTTCTTTGTATGTATGTATGTTTTAGATTGTGAACCAATTTTGATGATTCTTTTTTTATTAAATAGGTTATGACTTCAAGGGTGGTTGCATAACATATATTTCGAGAAAAAGTTTCACCCCTAAGGGTAGAAAATAAATAACTAGTACTCTTTTAGCAATTTGTAGTCAGTTTTTACTTTTTGTTAAAAGTTACCTATAATTATAGCGGTTGAGGTATAATAGACCAAATATGTTTCTATCTATATTTTATTG